TGCTCCCAGCGGCCGCGGGAAGTAATTTCGACTACATTTTTTCACTTTATACATACTTCTAAAAATTTCATTCTCTGCCTATCCTATTTGCGCACCCACGAAAACTCCATAACCACCGTTTTTGCAGGACAAAATGCTGGGACTATGGGTATATGAGTGGAGCTACATAAGCTACTTTTGCCGAAGAAAGCAATGGAAGGACGCTTAAACGATTGCAAAACCAATAAGGAGCTTCCTGCGCATCCTGGCCATTCGGATAGGCCAAATTACGAACTCACCCTCAGCGTTGCACACGAATTTGCGCCTATCAGGAGATGGTTGCGGAATTTCCTGAACTTTGACCGTCACCTTGGAGTCCTTGTCTAAAAAAGGACAGTTGGCGTGATATGTAGAAGGGCAAAAATGTGATAAATGCCTTGTTATGTTGGCGAGAGTGAAATGTCGCCGGCGCTGCTCACGCAGATCTTAGTAAAATTGGTTGTTGACCCAGTTGACCCATATTCCAAATATTTTATGCTCAGAAGCTGACAGGTTTGGATGGTATTAAAAAGCCCATCCCATCCCATTGCAGTAAAAGTAGCAAGTGATTTTGGAAATATTTATAGATATCGCAACATACCGCTTAGATAATGCGAATTATTTCTATTTTTTTGAAAGTTCGGAAATTTGGATGCCTTCTTGGGTGAAATTACCCTACAAAAAACTGCCACTAAGGCATTCCGTCAAAGGCAGTGGAATGTTTAGCAATATAAGATACCTCATGAAATAATATTTGGCCTTTGTTGAATTTTATAAGTGCCCTTTTTACGCCTAATTTAAAAAGTGAAGCTTTGTAAGTTTCGAAAAGTTAAGTGTTCCTCTTCAGCTTGTCTCTTTCTCACTGCATTAATTTTTTCATTAAAATTGCGTAATACTCATCCAATTACAGGGGCATTTTATGACTGACGTTTGTATTACTTTTCATAGCTATCTCGTAGAAACTTCGGTATTCTCTAGTATATCTGGTTTAACCGGAAGGTTTTTTTGGTATTTTGCAGTTTTGCACTACGCTAATAGATGTCGCAAACTGCACACGTTTTTCTACGGTAAATGTAACAAGTCAGCTTCTTAGAAAATCTTGTGCGGATAAGTTTCCTTGAAGGTTTCTATCTAAGTCAAATGTAAGTAAGTGGTATCCACCAGATGCCTACTGTAAATGCATGAGATGAAAATACCCAGTAGGTTCTGAAAACTTAAGTGGCCTGTGGGAGAAAGCGGTGACACACCCAAAAAGGAATCAAAAAGTAACGGTTGTTAACTGCCGAATAGTGTTACCTCAAGTAAGTGGGCTTTGACTTGGACAACAAGTGAGTGTATTTCACCTACCCTGTTTGCTGTCTAGCCCGATTTCGAAGTACGGGCTGTAATACTTGATGCTGCTGTCTGCCTTAGGAGAGACGACACAGCGGCCAGATGCGCGAACTTCTGGCTTCCTGAGACCTGTGAAGGTGATGGCGTTGCCACTCTGACGGACTGTGTCGGCAACCACTCCCGTCATTGGCATTGGTTGACCCGAGGCCGTACGCACTTCCCAGCCAAACACCAGGTCCTCCTCTTTCATAGTACTGCCTGAAAATGCAAAAACATTCGAAGTTCCCAAGGGGAGAAGCATGCGGTAGAAGAACGCTGACTGTGCCTTTGCAGAGTTTGAGACGAAGCCACAGCTTCAAACTAACGCGCACAAAAGTAATCCCTCGAGTAAATAGCAAAAAATTTCGAAGTAAAATGTAGGCGTGGGGGTCCGTTCCTTAATCGGTCACCGTATGCATGGAGCTAATTGTGCAGAGCAAGCCCTAAGCAGCCAGGGTGAAAAACGTAAGCAGCCACACTCGATTTACCTATGCTATCAATGTCCGAACAGTATATTTACAGATAGCAGACAAGTCGGACTGGTCAGGTTCCCTTCTTACGTCGTCCCATATTTCTGGCCATAAGTTCAGGAAAGAGTTTAAAAGCACAATAGAATAAACTCGTTTAACTGATGCATGACTCATCCTCTTATACTGCTACATTTGTCTGATAGGTAGGTTTAATGCCACTGGACGAAATATAAACTTCCAGTAAATAGTGACAAAAAGTTTGTACAATTGTGTATACTTACTATGAACTTCGCATCGAAGCGTCACTTGTGGTTCGCCTTCAGTCGGCAAATTGCCGCCAGCACTCAGTCCACGGACTATTGGATGAAGGATTTCGTATTTTCGAGCGGGTTCTCGTTCATCTGGGTGTACAATTTTTTTAAAGTATATTATGACAGGTTAGAGAAGTCGGTGACGTAAAATTAAGCCTGAATTACAACCTAACATGAAAAAAACAACCTACACACACCTTTAAGTGGAGTTCCATCGGGATTGGTCACTACCACTGCATAGAAGGGAGATGCAATTCTTTCCATGGTTGGTTCGCGAATATAGCCAGCCGTTTCTTTTCTTGGCTGGGTTATTTCAGCAATAACGCGGAATCTCAAATTGTCCTTCTGCGAATTCTGGAGATCGCCTTGGAAACCTTCTAATTTGATGCTACCGGTCGCAGCATCGACAGTAACAGAATCAGCCAACGCACTCAGCGGTGCCGGGCTTCCATCTGAATGAGTCACTTCAAGGCCGAAGCGAATGTTTTCTGATGGAGTTTGCAGATCTTCGTTTGTGAGAGCATCTGGAGTAAGGTCAAATGGTAAATAAAGGACTGTGGTCAGTAGTATCACTCAAGGTTCCAACAGAGAGCCGCGGTGGTCAGCTAACTAAACTAGGAGGAAGGGGACAGAGAAGGAAGAAAAAAGGTACTCCATAGCGCCATCTTTGCAAAGACCGGCTGTTTTGGAACAGAAATTTAACCACTGTGATCGGATATTTGGAAATAATAGAAAACGGCAGAAAGTTGGCATGCAAACTGACTGCAATTTTTCGTGATCCTTGTGAGTACAAGTAAAGTCTCACGCAAGGGCTTTAGAGACTGTGAAGTAGGGAATTTACACTTACCAAATACTTTGGCACGTAAATCAACAGTCTCTCCTTGGGCACCCTTCAATGTGTCGGACTCACGGAGACCATCAATAAAGACCCTGTATCTGTTGTAAAGCTTGTCGTCGGGAGCTGTAAAAAAGCAAACAAAAAAAATGCATGAACTTTATCTCATAGGGAATTTAACATTCCGAGCATTTTGAAGTCAGAATGCTAGATATGTGATTGTAGAAGGCACAAAAAAGTAGACGAACATGTTACAAGATCAGCAACGCCCGTATAGTTCGGTTTCGTCGGCTCCTCGAGGGGTTTAATGTCGAAGTCGATGAAGTTCCCGGGCCTACTCGTGCCTGGAGGCAAGATACCACCTGCCTTAGGATCGGTCTCATCCCCTGAGACTGGTGTGGTCTTGTTCATGAGCACGCATCGGGCTCTTATGCCGGCCGCTGTGTCCCGCAGGCCAGTCAGGCGAAGGCTGCCGTCAGGCAGGATCTCCACCTTGTCAGCTACAGCGCTAGTGTCTACCGGACGATTGTCGTGAGTTCTAATCTCCCACTCGACCGCCAATCCGCTAATTGCAGTTCCCGTGTAGACATCTGAAAGAGGGAAGAAGACGGATAACGAGTGTGTCCTCCAGACTTGTTGCCGAAGAAGCAACTAGGGTGGAAGTTTAATTTACTTCAGAGACCAGCTTATTTTTCACATAGATATATACTTATTTCGTAACAGTAGGCATGTTTTTTCCCATTGCCCTCAGTCAGAACCGATGACTTCCTGTCGCATTTGCGTTCCGCTGTTGTGGTTCAGAAGTATAAGGTGGCCATTTTTAAAACGAACTTATTAGTAGAATAGTTTTGCAAAGCATACTTCCGCTACAAAAGAGGAGATTTTTGAAGAAATACGCACCATGACTTCGCAAGGGAGAAATTGCATTGCATGTTTGGTTGGCCGTTCAAAAACGTCGAATTCTGACGAAAATAGTTGGCACTGCCCTGGGGACAACGTTTTATCACTTGTTCAATTCATTTTGGCATTTCCACTAAGACTGTTTTCGATAGGCGTGTTTGTGCTCGTGAAGAATCAATTTTCAGAATAAAAGTTACAGCGGTGAGGTTTTCTAAATTGTGCTGCCGACTTAGATTTGGTTTTAAGGATAAGGTAAGCGTATAGGGTATTTCAGTAGACGCAATGGCTGTGGGTCTAGAGTATGCGTTGAATGGGGGGTTGGGGGTCGGGAGTAGGTTATAAGCGGTCAGTGGTTTAATTTAGGGTTAATTGTCGGGTATTGCAGCCAGCTGGCTAGGGTCAACTTTTCAATAATCACTACAGCTACACAAACCTAGTCGCTTAACAATCGTTAGTGTTTCACTAGATATTTTGGCGCACATCGTTTTCCAAAGCTCGCATTCCTTTTTTAATTGAATTAGCGTACTTAAACAACCTTCTTCATATTTACGAATTTTCACATTTTACCTCAGTATTTTCCTACTAGTAATCGCAAACCCCCTATTACCGCAGTTGCCATATCACGCTAACTACCGGCTTGGGTTTTCTTGATGCGATGACGTTTTCAGTTCTCACGGGAGCTGCTCCTGTACACTTATCTCATGGATACGCGAAAGCAGCGTCAACACTAGAGGCTTCCGGACACTTTCCATCTACCTCCGATGGCAGGTCAGTCGTAGTTATTACGAAGGTGGGCATTTCTTATATTCTTCGAAGGACCTATGGTTAAATTTTTTATCCTACGCATCACATGATACTTAGGGATGGTGAGCTTTGCCATCCACTTTCGAACGTTCAAGTCCTAGTGTTGGCTGTAAACCATTAAATTCAGACACTTGGCTTACCTATGCCCTCACACTTCAGCGTTGTACTTTCACCCTCACCAAGGGATACCGTGCCGTTGATCGGACCTTGCACCACAGTCTCCGGTTTCTCATCTGTAAGGATTGAAAAAGTCTCCGAGGTAATGTATAGGGGAAAAAATTACAAAGCGACAATTTTTTTCGACAGTAGACAATATAGTTAAACCAACTTTCTGCTCGTAGTTTCACTACAAAGACACGGTAGTCCGTGTGGCACCTGTTTACCCGTGATTAGGAGTGATAAAATGAGTGATGGTTATAAGTTACTGTGCTAAATGTAAAAGTAGGCACGACTCGCTAGGTAGCATTTAAATTAATGTCTCAATTCGACTGCTTTTCTCATCAGCGTTTAAATTATTTTCTACCCCCGCAACTACGGTTCTGGAAGTATGTTCACCACGTATAATTGTATTTTGTCTTTTTGATAAGAGAGTTGACTATTAGCATCTCTCGGAAATTTTTTTCAATGGAGAGTCCAGTTGAAATGGTTTAACCCTCATGAACGCCTCCACTATTCCATAGTAGCCAGTTTAAGGAAGCAGGTTCACCTTGTATCAGGTAAAAGTTTGCGGTTTCGGCTTTTCATGACAAGAGGAAATACGGACTTATTCTGTTTAATACGAAATGCGAGTTTGTCCAAATGCATAGCAAACAATAAATGATAACGGCTCTGGTCGTTTAAACACGGTCTGCTCTTCAAAGCATCATATAACTTACCCCCAAATTCCGCCGGTCCAACAAAAGCTGGTTTCTTTGGATCCTCTTTCGAGACGTCAATGCGAATAAAACCGTCAGACGTGGATTTTGTGGGGTCCTCACCACCGGTTAAAACGACACATTGACCGTCAATCGGTCCTTCCTTGTCAGCCAGCTTTGAAAGGTCAAGATCTCCTCGCAGGCGGCCGAGAACAATTGAATCACCCGAAATCTCAACGCTTTCGAATAGATGACCTGGTATGACTGTCTCTCCGGAAGAACTGACAAATTGCCAGTAGTGTGTGGAGTTAGTCAATTGAGAGCCGGTTTTCGGATCTGAAAGTACAGAGACAAAGAGTGGAAT